CCACTGAAAACTCCCCACAAGCGGAGGATTAAATGCTCTTTCAATGGGCTGTAGGTAGTTCTTGAGTAGATAACACGGGGACTTGCTTGAGCAAAGATTTGACCTAGTAAATGGAGCTGAAAAGCAAACATTTTTGCAATTAAAGTAACTGCGGGACTGTAAAGGCCGCGGTGCAGGGAAGGTCCTGCCGCGGCCGAGGAGGCTCCGGCGCAGACCTTGAGCGGAGCCGTGTTTAGTCCTGCCCAGCGCCTCCTTATCCAGCGGGGATGAGGAGCGGGTGCCAATGAATCCAYGTCCTCGCGTTTGCCACGGGCATCCCGGGCATTCGCGCAGGGTGTCCTGGCTGTCCCTATCCCGAAGTGAGCGCGTGCATCCCGTGAAGGGTGATGTGTATTTGTGGGGGGCAGCACTGCAAGCTCCTGGGAGCGAGGGGTGAACTGGGACCCACAGGATGCTCCTCTTGGACCCCCAGAGCCGTGTGTGCAGGAGCAGGGAATGGGCCCTGCTGCCGGTACCTGCCCTGGCCTGGGCACCTTTGCAGCACGAGCTGGGCACCAGGGCAGGCCACGGGACCCCTGTCTGGTCCAGGTCCTGCCTTCGCCCTCTCCCGTATCCACAGGGAGCGGGGGGAGCATCTCGGGAATCGCACGCTGGCTCTGTCATGGGCAGAGGCTGCATTGCCAACATCTGTCCGGAGGAAAACGGGAGCCTAACAGAGGGGATTTGCTTTTGTCTTCCAACAGTGAGAAACCGAGATGCACCTTAAGGAAAGGATCTGCGCCCAGGGTGAATGACGGATGATCACGGACAAGGTGAGCGTGTCYCGGCCGTGCAATTCCGTGCCCTGCTCCCAGCGTGGTCGGACAGGGAGGCTTTTCCCCTGCAAGTGCTTTAGCAGCTGATAGYCGATGCCAGGCTCTGTTCAGCTCCCTGCACGCCAGAGAAGAGGGTGTCATCCCTGCACAGGGAGATGGTGACCGTCCCTTCCAGGCTCTCGGGACAAGCAGCCTGTGCTTTGCGCTCGTGAGATGGAGCTGCCAGCATTCCCGGGAAGCTGCTGGATCCAGCCGCTCTGCTTCCCGCTTCCACGGGGCTGGCGAGCGACTGTGTCCCCAGAACCACCCAGCTCCGTCCTCGGAGCCCATCCCCTTCCCCAGGGAGCACTTGGCCATTGGATTTAGGCTGCTTTTCCACAGATCCACCCAAAGGCACCACTAGACCTGGCTGGCACCCTCATTCCTCGGCCATCCTCAGCCTATCCATGAGGAAAAGCCGGGGAGAGAGCAGTGATCCCGGTGCAAGTGATCCCGCTTTGGCGCCAGTGCAGAGTATCCCTTGTAAATGCCTACGTGCTTCCAAAGGCTTGCACGGCTGAATGGGAAGCACATTCCCGTGGGGGCGGCCTGTGCGTCAGGCGCTGCGGCCGCGTCGGGCTCGGGCGGCCGCCGGGGTCCTGGGGAGAACAAGAGGCCTCTGTGCTCTGACGTCCCGGGCAGAAAAGTGGGCGAAACAAGGGCGTTTTGGTGCAAAGGGAACTGCGTAATTTTCTTTCACGCTCAATGTCTGGTTATTTATCACAGTTGGGGGCTGTGGCTGGGGCCTTGGACTCGGCAGAGGGGAGATGACAATATAGGGGACACCACGTTGTGTCACCCCCCCCCCCCCGGCCAGGCTGTGCAGGGGGCACCCGCCCTGTCCCCCTGTGTCCCACCCTGTCCCCCAGCTCTGCCCTGTCCCCCAGCTCTGCCCTGTCCCCCAGTGTCCCCTCACAGACATCAGGCTCCAGGGAGGGGGGACCTGCCATGTCCCCGATGTGTCCCCCCTTCCCCCAGGGCCAGGTCCTTCTGGGGGAGGGGGTTGCACTGTCCCCTAGGTGTCCCCTTCCCCCCCGGGACAGGCTGTACCCTGTCCCCTCCATGTCCCCTTCCAAGTGCCAGGTTCCCTGGGGGAACTGAGCCCATTTCCACCCCCATGTCCCCCTCCAAGTGCCAGGCTCCTCCGAGGGGCTGAACACTGTCCCCTCCTCATCCTCCCCTTGTGTTCTTCCCCCCTGCCCCGTGTCGAATGGAGCCCGGTCCCCGCGTGTCCTCCCGCATCCCCGCTCCGAACCCAGTCCCTCCTTGTCCCCCCCGTGTCCCCCGTGCCGCTCTGGGTCCCGCGTGTCCCTTCCCGTGTCTCCCGCGACGTTCCGATCCCGCTCCCCGCTCCGTCCCCGTGTCCCCGCCGCCCGGGCCCCGCTCCCGCCGTGTCCCGGGGTGCCCCCGGCCGGGAGGCTCCGCTCGGCCCCGCTCCCGCCGCCCGAGCTCATTGGGCCGGCCCGGAGGCACCGGCCGGGCCGGGAGGGAGGGACGGAGGAGCGGGGCGGGCGCGGGGGGGCCGCGGCGCGGCGGCCACTCGGCGGCTCCGCCACGGGCCGGGTGAGTAGCGGGGCCGGGGGGCGGGAGGGGGCGGCCCCGGGCACCCCCCCGGCCCGGGGCTCCTCCTGCTGCAGGTGGGCGCCGAGCCCGGCGCGGTGCCCGGTCCCTATCCCTGTGCCCGGTGCCTATCCCTGCTCTGCAGCGTCCTGCATGTGCCCGTGTCCCTGCGCCTTGTGCCACCGCGTCCCTGCGCGTGCCTCTGTGCCTGCTTCCGCGGTGCCCGTTGTTTCCCTGCACCCAGTTCCGCGCTGCCCATGTCCCTGCACCCGGTTCTGTGCTGCCCATAGTGTCCCTGCGCCCTGTTCCATGCTGCCTGTGTCCCTGCACCCAGTTCTGTGCTGCCCATAGTGTCCCTGCGCCCCGTTCCATGCTGCCTGTGTCCCTGCACCCAGTTCTGTGTTGCCCATCATGTCTCTGCACCCACTTCCACACTGTCTCTGTTCCCTGCCTCGCGGTGCCCTCTAGCACTTTGCCCGGCATCCCAGTGCTTGCGGCTCCGCTCCGTGTTCCCCGCATCCCTGTCCCCCCTCTGCTCCTTATATCCCTGTCACGCCACTCCAGGACCTGCGCCCTGCAGCGCAGCCCAGGCTGTGCGGAGAGCGGGAGGGATTCCCTGCTCCGGAGGGATGGGCGCCCTTCCGGAGGGTCAGGCTCCAGGACGGAGCTGGGAGCGTTGAGTCCCAGCGCAGAACCGGGCCGGGCTGCCTGCGGGGTCCTCCCCACAGCGCACCCTCTGCCGGGACCAGGGACATGGAYCCCATTCCCACCTGGCATCCCGGGGCGTTTTGGCCCTGGTTTTGTGGGCAGAGCTGGCGAACGTGCTGCTCCCCTTGAGAAACTGGAGGCCATGCAAACCGTGCTGGTTTGCAGCAGCTTTAAAGCTGGTGATTTGCACAAAGCYGTTGAAGCACAAGTAGATTCTATCATTTCCTTAATTTCTGGAACTTTTTGAGCCGCTCATCTTCAAAGAGAAGCAACCAAACAGGCCTGGCGCAGCATGGGTGTCCTGTTAAAGTCTGGGAAAAGCCGATGGAGCAGTCGGGAGCTGCTGCATCCCTGCTCTACGCTGGGATGCCTCCAGAAGGCCTGGGGAGCGAGAAGACTTGTCCATTTTTCTTATTATTTTTAAAACCCTTCCTACAGATGATCCAAGATGTCCTGGTGAGGGAAATGCCCCCTATTAGGCATTAGAAGACTAATTAGCAATAGCCTTCATTTAACTTCTAGGTAGCTCCCTGCATCTGCCATTTCAGAGGGATGTTTCTTGTCGCCTGCATCCCACTCTGGCACCTCCTTCCTCAAGGCTTCATAAGGCTCATCCTTTCCATGCTTGGCATGCGGTTAAGGAGGATTTCTCTATTTTTTCCTCCTTTAAATGCTGCCATCCAGAGGCCAAGTGCTTTGTTTAAATCGGATGATGTTTAAAGTAGATGCCAATACCGACCTGCTTCAGCGTCGTGTCTGTCCTTAGCCAAGCAGAGCCTCTTGCAGCGCAGCTAGTTCTTGCTCTCAGACTGTGCATGCCTTTAAAGCACTTTTTTCCCTTTTTTTTTTTTTTTTCTTTGGCAAAAGCCGCTGTATTTTGAAGCGAGGAAGATCAGATTTCAGCGCGTCGCGGGGTGGGAACGGGCAGCCCGGCAGCGCTGTGTGGGTCGGGAAAGCGCAGCCGGCACCCGGGAGCCCCCCGAGCCGCGTCCCTCGTGTCCCCTCCGCGCCGACAGGACCCCCTGCCCGCTCCGTCCCCGCAGCCCCTTGGTGGCACTGGGCGATGGGCAGGCGGTTCCTGTGTCCCTGAGCCCTCGCCGCGGCTCCCGGCGGGGACGGGTGACGTTCTCACCCCGCTGCTCTTTCCCTTGCAGGCTGCGGCGCCGAGACATGCAGTAGGACCCGGCGCTTCCCGTGGGGACCCGGCGCTTCCCGTGGGGACCCGGCGCTCCGTGGACGGCCGGGACATGCCCGGCCGCGGCTCCCGCCTCCTCGCGGGGCTCCTGCTGCTCCTCGGCGCGGGCGCTTTCGCACACGCAGGGTGAGCCCCGAGCTCCAGCGCGAGCTGAGCCCGGCCGCAAGCACAGCAGGGTCGATGCCTCTCTCCTTGTCGTGCTCTGCAGTTAGAGCTTTGTTGTAGAATTTGCAGAACAAACAATTGCTGTTTATAAACTGCATCTTCCAYCCCGTTAATCAGGGGGGCTGAGGAGAGGTTGCTGCAGCTAATAGAAGCCATCTGAGGTCCACGTTAATTCCCAGCCTTTTATTCTAGTTGGGCTGGGAAGCGGAGGGAAATAGGCAAGTTTCTAAGTGGAGCTGAACAGCTTGGGCTGGAAAAGCTTGGAAAAAGAGTCTTTATCCGAGACCACTCTGGCTCTCCATCCTGGGAAAGCTTTGGCCTGGAASGCTGCAGTTATTTTAGGGAAAACAGAGGGCAGCTCTGCCCTGGGTCTGGCCCTTGTGAACTCAGGAATTTTTTGGTGGCCGCAAAGACATCAATTGTGGGGATGCACAAGTCTCAGGAGGGAAAAATAAGTCAGGGCCGGGGAGGGGGAATCCACCTAAAAAGCAAATGGTTTTAGGGGAAGGAGGAGGAGGATGGACGGGAGGAGAGGAGCCGGGTGGGTGTTTGGGGAGCCGCTGCGGCCGCTYGGTGGCCCTGACGCTGCCCGTGCTGGCGCAGGCGCCGCGTGTGCTCCGCGCGGGCGCCGGCCCCGCCGCCCGTGCCCGAGTCGCACGTGCAGCCCGTCTACCTGCCCTACCTCACCACGTGCGCCGGCCAGCGCCTCTGCAGCACCTACAGGTGAGCGGTGCCGCGCGCGGGACCCCCGCTCCTGGGGACCCCCAGGTCCTGGGGTCCCCGTGGGGTGTCCCTGCAGCCGCGCGGGGACCCCCGCTCCCGGTGTCCCCATCGCCCCGGCTCTCTCCCTTGCAGGACCATCTACAAAGTCTCCTACCGGCTGGTGGCCAGGCAGGCGGCCCAGCCCGTGGCCTCGTGCTGTCCCGGCTGGAGCCGGGATGCCACATCCGCGCTCGGATGCAACAGAGGTAACCGAAAACGCACGATATCTGCTTGCTTTCGTTTCAAACACTGCTCCCCACCGTGCCCGGAGCCCCCCAGCTGCTGCTTGCGTTTATTTTTTCAGCACTCCGTAACACAACACAAAGTAGCTTCAATTTCTGCTGTGTTTCTAGCCTTTCTGGGCAGCCTCGCGTGCCTTTCTCCTTTGGGATAGCTTATTAGCTTGAGAGATACCAGAGGATAAGTGAAACGAGTAAGTTCTTTCTGTAGGAATCAGCAGCAATGGAAGAAAGACGCTTTTAGGGGAAGGAGGAAAAAAAGGCAATTCCCAACATAAAATGACTGTAGAAGGTGGAAGCAGCAGCAAATCCCTCCCTGGTTGATCCTGGAGCGCAGCATTCCCAAACCGCCACGAGCGGGAGCCGGCCGGGATGTCCTGCAGATGCCCCCTTCTCTTTGTGCTGCACACCCTGCTTTGCTCCCTGTGGCTCTCAGCTCCATCCTGCTGCTTCCTGGGGGTCGTGGAGCATCCCGGGATGCGGGTGTGGGTTGGGATGYGCGCGGGGAGGSCGCGGGCGCCGCTGAYGCTCGTGTCCCCGCAGCCGTGTGCTGGGCGCCCTGCCGCAACGGCGGCAGCTGCGTCTTCCCCAACAGATGCTCCTGCCCGCCGGGATGGACGGGACCGGCCTGCGAGACGGGTACGTCGCTCCCGATGCTCCCGCCGGGCATCTCGGAGCAGCGGGACGGGGTGGGGGGATGCTCGGGATTAATGCAACCTGGAGCTCCCTTTGGCAGCTCCCAGCCCTCAAGCACAGGCCTGTGCCCGTGTTTGCTCCCCGACACTGCTGGAAAACCAAAAATATATGGGAGGAAAGGGAAAACTCGTTGGCCTCCAGGGCYGAATTCATCCCTGGTGTGAGGTGATGGCTGCTCGTTGGCAGAGAGGCTCTGCAGACCTCGGTGCTCTGCACGTGGTCCCCGGCGGGGCGCAGAGGAGGAGCACGTGGCAGGGACCCGCGCCGGGCGCAGCCTCCGTGATGCCTCCGGCTSCGGCGCGCGGAGCAGGAAGGATTTTCCCACTGCCTGGAACAGCTTCTGCTGGGCGTGGGAAGCAGTTCTGCTCATTCAGCTTGGTGGGAACAGCTTTAATAACTCCCCCGTGTGAGGAGAGGTTACTGGGTTTTATACATACTTGAAAGGCTTGATAGCTCCTCGCCACGGCTGGGCTGCAACCAAAACCCCGGCCGTAAATCCGGGATGAGAGCCAAGGCTGGGCGGCCTGGGAACAGCCGCCGCCGGCCCGGCCACGGTTTGGACCGTCCCGAGCACAGCYTTTGCTCCTGCAAAATGTGGAAGGGCAGAGGGAAGGAGGTGGGAGATTCCCCCAGGTTTCCTCCTGGGAGCTGCAGCAGAGCCCGTCCCGAGGCTGGTGGGTGCTGGGCTCTCATCCCRCTCCCCACGGGCACCCGCTGCGATCGGGGGGTGTTTCTGGTAGGGGACAGGCCTCGTGGCGCCCTGCCCGTCCCCGCCGCCCCGTGTCCACCCTCACGTCGCGCCTGTGCTTGCAGACGTGGACGAGTGCGCGCGCCGGAGCCACGGCTGCAGCCAGCTCTGCGCCAACACGGCCGGCAGCTACCGCTGCTCCTGCCGCGCCGGCTTCCGCCTCGCCGCCGACGCCAGGGCGTGCGAGCCCATGGAGCCAGACCCGGAGCCGCGAGCCCAAGGTAACCCGCTCCCTTCCGCCGGGCTTTGGGGAGGGGACAGCAGCCGGAGCGCCCCGGCGTCATTCCCAAAGGGAGCCTGCAACACCCCGTGCATCAACCGGCGGCCGCCTGCGCGAGGACGGCGGCCTCGTGGTCCCCGGAGCGGCGAGGAGCGGCGGGCCCCGCTGGTCACGGCCCATTATTACTTTTGGTACGCGCTGTGACACTTCAAACTCGTACCGTGAGTAATAATGCGCTGTGGCCAGCCCCGGCGGCGCGCGGAAGGCGCCGGCAGGAGYGGGCGCCGCGCTGCGTGACCCGCGGAGCGCCGGCCGGCACCCCCGTGCTCTCCACGGGGCACCGCGTCAGCCTGGTGCCGATGACTCGCCCGACAGCACYGGGGCAAAAGGCCGGGCTTTTCCCCCAGCGCGCGCTGCCCTTGGCGCCTGGGGAAAGCCCGCTTTGTTCCAGGTATTCCAGCAGGGAAGGGAGGCTGGTTTGGGCTCTGCGGCTGGTGCTGGTGGGCTGGGAGTGGGATGCGTCCTCRCTGCCCTGCTCCAGGCTGCAGGATTCTGCAGATGGGAGCAGCTCCCTGCCCTGCACTCGGGCAATGGGTTTTGCACTAACTGGCCCTGCTCTTGCTCGTTTTTTTCCAGGACCATCCAGTGAAATGAAGGAAGAAATGAAAGACTTGAAGGCCAGGATGGAAGCGCTGGAGCAGGTGAGCGCCCGGCGAGCGCCGCTGCCTCCCCTCCCTCTGCGTGCGGCTGTGCGCACAGTCGGACACAACTCCCGGCCGCGGCTCTCCAACCACCACCGCTCTGTTTTTAAGGCCACGCTGGCCTCGTGCTCATAGCAAACCCTGTGGTGCTTGGTGTCACCTGGCGGGTGACGTGCCGAGGCCATCGGGCTGCCCAGGACGTGTTCCCAGCTCCTCTTGTCCCCCGCAGAAGCTGCAGTCGGTGCTGGCCCCCTTCCACAACCTCATGCCGTCGGCGCCGGACGATGTGGGCACAGACCCCATCAGCCGCCTCTCCCACTCCCTGCAGCAACTGGACAGGATCGATTCCCTCAGCGAGCAGATCTCCTTCCTCGAGGAGCGCCTGGAGACGTGTAAGTGCCCGGGAAAGGGATGATTTTCAGCACCACCTTCCACACATTGCCCTTCTGCCCCACACAGGGTGGCAGAGCCCATTGACCCACCCGCAGTGGCCGCCTCCTTTGGCCAACACAGGATTTCTCTGACTCTTGGCAGATGCAGCCAGCTAGAKCGGTAACACATGCCCCACTATGAATCCCTATCCCCCCTCAAACTCAGCAGCCTGTAATTAATAAAAGATGACCACAAACAGCCCATTAACTGCATTTCAAAGCTGCTTCTAGGGCTGCACCCCCAGATTGCCCTTGCAGCAGCCAAAAGAGGTGCCTGGAACTGCAGCCACGGGGCAGAGCAGCATGAGCTCTGCAGCAGGTCCCTGCTCTAACTTCACCCAGGGCGAAATGCAAGGAAAGGCTGCAGCTCCAGGGAATTAACAGTGAAGGAAGTCAATCAGCACGGTTTAGGGAGCGTGCCGAAGGTGGCACATTTACGAGCCTGGGAAGTCTCTCGGCCCGTTTCTTTTTGAAGCCTGCAGTCCTTTGCCGTGCAGCCCGGTGAGAGGGTTGGTTTTGCTTCCCGAGCCGCTGTGAGCAGCAGCCCCTGGCGAGAACAGCCGCGGGCGAGAGGCTCGTGGCTCCACGGAGCAGGGCAGGCTGCAGACAGAGCCACGGGCAGGGTTTAAGTTGCCACGAGGAGGGCTGTGCAAAGCCTGTGCTGAATCACTGCAGTCTGCATCACAGCTGGCCATAAAGCAGCTCATTGCTTTGATGCCCGRGGCACGTGCAGCGCCAGCTCGTGCACGTGCGTATGGGGAACCTTTGGCATCTCTTCTGAACACTAAGTGGCTGCAACTGACACTTAAGAAGGAAAATAACCCGGGAAAGGGTAATTAATTATCCACGCCACCGAGCGCCCYAGCCGAGCACGTTTCCTAGCATTGCTCTACACCTATTATTAGTGACAGCATGGAGGAATTGGAGCAGCGTCACACGGTAACATGGATTTAGTCCAAGGAATGACTCCCAGCTCCTGAAATGAGTCTGTGCCAAGCCTCTTACAGCAAGTAAACCTGGCTTTTGCCCTGCTCACGTTCTCCAAAGCCCCTGGAGGCCCCGAGGCTGCCGTTGGGCCATGCAGCAGGTTTTGCAGGGCATCCCTCGGCCCCGTGCATGGAGGGGCAGCTCTGCTCTGGCACAGGGATCCYAGTGTTTGCTGTGTTTCTTTTTTCRACCTGTCCAGGTTCCTGCAAGAACGAGCTCTAGCCAAGCACCCGAGCTGCTCATCTCCCGGGCCAGCCCCAGCCGGCAGCCGAGTCACCTCCTCCRCGGGCAGACACAGGGTAGCAGGAGAAGGCTGGTTTTCCGTCAGCATCTCCACCTTTTCCTCTTCAAAATCGACGTACCGAAGGTCATGCAGCTGCTTCCAAACTGGACTTGTAGTCCTCAGCATCTCACCCCCCTTCTGCTGCAGCAGCAGAGAATAAAGGTCTCCCCTCGTGCCYGTAGCTGTGCCCTGTGTCACCCTGGGACCCATAAAGGGGGTGCTGGTGCTGCCTGTGCACCCTGGGCAGCACAGGGGCTTCYCCCCCTTGCTCACACTGCTCTCAGGGTGCAGAGCAGGGACCGGTTCCTGCTTTTACACTCCTGCTGCCTTAAGGGGCAGTTTTGAGCAGAAAACCCTTTCCCACAGCTCTTGAGCCAGCCTGTGCCATGGGCAGAGCCGAGGCCAAAGCGGGACTAGGGCCAGTCCCCTGTCCCCCCCTGTGGTGACACAAGTCCCCTGTCCCCAGTGCTGTTTGCTCAAGCCCAAGGACGCGGGTGCAGCAGAGCTGACGGGGCCAGCCTGGTACGAGGCTGGGGGGGACACTAAAGCCAGCCCTGGGGACACAGTGGGGGACAAGGCTGGGCCCTGCCCTCGCACTGACCGAGCCCGACCTGCAGGACGCTTCTGTTCCCCCGCCTCCCACAACACCACAAGAGTCTCCTTTATTTCAAGAGCCAAGGGTGTACTTTTAAAAAGGCAAATACAGCAGCCGCGGCTGCCTCGCGCCGGGGCTGGCCCCATGGGACACTGCCCGGCTCCCCAGGGCCAGGTCGCCCCTCTGGCCCCGYGGGGGTTTTTGCTTCTGTGACACAGCCCTTCGCCCGCTGCTTTTCCAAGTGCTGCTTTGGTCTCAGTCCCCGCCAGTGCTCCCTGTCCTGTGTTTGAGCCCTGCAGCCTTGAGCTGCGGCCTGCGGGCTCCCTCCCTTGGGGCTCCCGGGTTCTGCAGGAGCTGCTGGGCTCCCAGTGCTGCYCCGGGCAGGGACAAATTCCACCCAAAGGCCTCCCAGAGACAGGCTGCAAAAGCCAAGGGCCCTGGTTGTCCTTGGCCTCAAGAGGGGCCTCGAGGCAGCACCCAGGGGTGCTAAAGCCTCCCTGGCCACGGGTGGGCACCCGAGGTCGTGGGACAGCCTTGAGCACCTGCAGCTCCCAAGGACACCCGGGACCCCACTAGCCAGTCACCCCCAAACCCAGGGCTCTGAGCCAAGGGGAACCCGTATCCGAGCTCCCTACGGAGCAAGGAGCCCATATCCCAAAGGGGCCCGTCYCCCAGAGGAGCCCGTATCCCGCAAGCGGGCTCTGGGTGGCCCACGGTCCCTGAGCACCCCATTTTCCAGAGCAGGAGCTGCCCGGTCCAGCACGGACACGTCACAGGCACCATCTTTTGGCCAATGCCGATGTGACAAGAGGCTGTTCGTGCGGCGGAGCCCTTGGCAGCACGCYGGACCACGGGCACCTGCCGTGAGCTCTTTCCAAAGGTGCTGCTGGGGAGAGGGGGCAGGATTCGGCTAAATGCTCCCCAAAACACAAGCCAGCCTGGTGAGCTGCTGCTCCCTGTTTCTGCATCTCTCCACTAGCCAGAGCACTTGTGCAGGCGAGGAGTGAAGCGCCAGGACACCCCTCTAAGGCTAAATGGCCCCACACATTCCTTTTTTCCAGCTCTGGCTTCCAAAGCCAAGGCTTTGCCACCAGTACCCACCTGGGCCTAACCCCAGCACGAGGGAGGGTCTCAAGGGGGAAAGTGACCTGGCCCTTTCCCAGCGCTGGCCTTTGAGCTCTGCTCCGGATCCACCCAGGGGAGGACACCACATTCCCGGCATAGGGAAGTGCTAAAGGGCCGGGATCGCAGCTCAAGCCAGGCACCTTGCCTGAGCGCGGTGCCGTCAGACCCAAAGTTTGGATTTTTTCGCCCAATTCTCGGCTCTGTGCAGGGGGTGCCAGGGCTGTGCAGGCCAGGGCTGCTGCCCTGCGGTTTTCCAGCCAGGACCATGAGCAGCCCAGGGTACCCTCCTCCCTGCGCCTGCAGGAACACGGAGACCCAGGAGGCAAAGCCCAGCTGGGGTCTGGGCACTGCTCCAGCCCAGGCACCTGAGCTGGAGGCAGGGACTCACCTCTCTGGTCATCGAGCCCTTTGGTAGCATAAAATCGATGCCTGAGAAACCCAGGAAAAAAAAAAAAAGAGAGACATTTCATAGCAAGATAAGGAACCCACGGGAGAAATCCACTCAGCGGGGCTGGCTTGACACCCTGTGTGTGCCAAAGTGGTGTCCCCAGAGCTAGAAGTCACTGCAGAGGAAGGGAAGTCCCTTTGGTATTTGGCAACAGACCGGTCCCTTTGGCCACCACCACACGGTGACACCACTGGAGAGGCATCTAGGAGGAGTCCTTCACTTGGGCTGGGCGGCCCGACAGCCTGAAGAGGGTCTCCCGCATGAGACAAAAACACCTGTCCGTGAGGTCTGAGACGTCATCTGGTGTCAGACCCTTGGTCTCGATCGGGGGCAGAACCTCGACCTTGATTTTGCCTGGGGAAGAGAGGAAGTCTGTGAGAAAGCCGTGGGCCACGGGAGCCGTCCCTGCCCTCCTGCAGAGCGCTCGTGCCAAGGGAGCTGCTCTGTATCGATGGTTCAGTGGCACTGCCACGACTTCAAAGAAGCTTTTCCCTGAAGAGGACCCTTGAGACACTGTTCTCCTGCCTAGAGCAACCCCAGCTCACCTCGCACGCCCAGACAACCCAGCCAGGATGGGAGCACAGGGCTGCAGGTCCTGCTTTGCACGGCCTGTGCAAAAATGTGGTGCAAAAATGCTCAGCATTTTCCCCCACCAAAACACAGCCCTGCCTCCTCCTTGCTCCTGAAGGAGCGACTCGAGCTATGCCAGGTATGTGCAGGAGAGGTGGTGCCCAATTCGGAGCATCCCCCAGCACTTCAGCTGCTCTCTGCCCCGAGCCAGCCCAGCCCGTGCTCTGGTGCCAAGTGCTCTGACACAAGCACTCCACATTTCTCCCAGAGAAACTCTTCCTGTTTATCCCAACGCCCCCTCCCTCCTGGCTCCCCGCGCAGGCACCGACTTAGCTACCTGATTTGAAGAGCTTCTTCTTCGGGTTGTAGAAGGAGGTGAAGGAGGAATACACCACAGGGATCACTGGGACCTCCGGAGGGAAGAGCAGAAAGAGGAGTTACTTGTGCAGAGGGCAGCCAGGGATGAGCAGCAAGTTGCAGGGGGCAGAGCCGGCTTGGCTCAGCCCTCGGCTCCTGCACAGCGGCCCATGTGCCAGGGTTGTGACAGTCCCAAGCTGAACTGCCCCCCGGCCACCCAAGGTGCAGGGAGGTTCAGGGCTCCTCCCTCCAGCCCCGGCACCCTCCCGGCTGYACCCTGTGGTCCTGTTGGAACAAGCCCTGCTGTGCTGCTCCAGCGCGCACCGAGGCCAGGCTCTGCTCCCGCTGCGCCTCAGGCACGAACGCCCCGGCCACAGGCAGCCCAGGGAGCCCCGAGCAGGCAGCGCTCGCCCAGGAGGGCGGCCACCACCTCGGCTTCCTTGCGCAGGTGACAGAGACACCGACCTGCGGGTCCGCGGGCTCAGGGCACGCGCGGTACCAGCCCAAAGCAACACGCTGCCACCATAACCTCAGGGACGAGGGAGGAAACCAGAGCTAAACCCTGGGGCAGGTTCATGGCACGGTGCTTGCCAGGCTGAAGAGGCTCCTGGCTCCTGCTAGGCAGCACCGAGGCCGAGGAGCAGAGCCTGCGTGCTGGGAATGGCGCACACTGAGGCAAACACGGCGTGGTTTTGCAGGAGCAGTCTGCAGCACCAGGGCAGAGCCCTGCCGGGAGCTGCGYGCCTGCTGCCTGTGCCCGTTACCTGTGCCTGCACGGCGAGGTGAAACGCTCCTTTCTTGAAGGGCAGCAAGTCTCCCGTGCAGTTCCTGGTGCCCTCCGGGTACACCCACACCTTCACCTGCGAGACAGAGCCCTGCTCCAGCAACGCACCTACGTGACGCCCTCCTTGCCGGCCACAAAGAGCCACAAGTGCYGAGGAACCAGCACCACACATGGGCCACCACCGTACTCACGTTCTCGGCCACCATGGTCTTGGCCACCTCAGCCATCACCATCTTGGCACTGCTGGTGCTCTTCCTGTTGATGAAGATGACGCCACCCAGGTAGATGATGAGCCCCACGCTGCCGGCGTACATGAGCTCCTTCTTGCCCACCTGGACACAGCCATCGGGCAGGACCTCCATCAGCCCTGGCATGAGGGCAGAGGGTGAGACCCAGCAGCCACCCAGACACAGCAGACACGGGCCCAGGTGGGCACAGAGGGACCGGGGAGAGGTCAGCGCCTCATTTCTCTGCTGCCTTCTGCTGGGCCAACCCTCAAGTCTGACCATAGAGCATGTTAAATGGGGCTAGGCCACCCAAACTGCCACGAAGTCAATGCTGGGAAGCATCAGAAGTTGAGCAGCACTTGGGATGCAATATGTGGGCTTCTCTGTTCTACCTTCCTCCTAACTAGTGCCACTAGAGCGAGCTGGACAGGCTGGATCTGCAGCATAGACTGTGCAGGGAATGGGGGCAGCTTGACCAAGAGTCCCACCAGGAAAACCCTGCACGGACAGGTGAACTTCTCCTCTGCTCCCAATCAGCTCCTCACCCATCATATCAAGGATGCTCTGGTGGTTGGACACGATGATAGCAGGGCCCTCCACCTCGAAGTTCTGCAGGCCTTTCACCTCAAACCTCAGGCCAAAGAAATACTTGAAACTCTTGACCACAGCTTTGATGATTCTGTGGAAAATAAAAGCAATTAGTCAGCAGCACAGCAGGAACAGGATGGGGATGGACACAGGTGAACAGAAGGAGGCAAACCCAAAAAGCTCTGCCCCAAAGGAGCCCTCAATCTCATCTGCTCTGTGGTTCTTCCAGGTGTCCACATGCAGCCATGGCTGGTCCCCTGTGGTCAAAGCACTTTAGTTGTGTGCTAAGCCCTATCCTAACCCAGTGTAGGATTTCTTCCGGGATCCTAGGCAAAGACAACATTAACTTTGAGGCCAGTACAGCCAGATTTGAGGGTTCTGTCCTCCTGAGGGCTGACAGCCTCACTCCTGAGCTGGCTGGAGCAAGGACACTGTCCAGCTCTCTCCAAGACGAACCTTTCTGGACCGCAGCACCAAGCGGGTCACCTACCACGGCCATTCCCATGAAAGTCCACGCAAAGCCACCCTGGGCTCTTCCAAAGCTGCAAGAGGCCCCTGAACAGGGGGCAAACTGAAGACCCTCCACAGGGAGACGCTGCTGGCTCAGTGGTCCTTCCTCCTGCTGCTGGTTGCATCCCTACAGTTTGGTGGCTGCTCTCTAATCTGCTTCCCTGCTGCAGGGAGGAGAGCCCCATGCTGCTTCAACAGCTCTTGCATGAGCTGCTGCTCAGCAGCACGTGCATGGGGCTACCTGGCCTTCCTCCAAGGAGAGCCGGGTTAATCCTGCTCCTTGCAGCGCCGGAGATGCCACCTAGCAACGCTAAGAACCACAGAGGGTTGTTGCCTCAAGGAAGTCCATAAAAAGCAATAAAAGTAGTAGAGCGAGAAGTACTTCCCTATAGAAAGGGTTGCACGTGGTGCCGGGGACGGGCGGGCTGAGGCACCTTGGGCACATTCACCCCCAGGCCACCAGCTCGCGTGCCTCGGGGGCTGCGGGTCCCAGCAGCGCCAGGTTCTTCCCCTGTGTGCCTAAGGGAGYGGCGGGCGGGAGACACCAGCAGCTCCACAGGGAGCAGCCGATGCATCCAAYGGGCTCCAGCGCCGAGCACCCCGACCCACGCAGAGCCCCCCGAGGCAGAGCCCACCTGCACCAGCCCGCACAGCGAGAACCTGGGGAGCCGCCAACTGGGCCGAAGGACAGGGCAGGAGCTGGAGGGCTATTTCGGGCAGGAAAGCACCGCTTGCCAGGACAGGCAGCTTGCAGCCGAACGAAGGGACATGAGCTCCTGCATGGTGACCTGTCCTGACACACAGGGCCCATCTTCCACCTGGGGCAGAGGGGACAGAGCTTTGTGTGCACTGAAGCTGTGAGAGAAGGCRCAAGAGCCTCAGTGGTTCCACAGAAGGCTTCTTGCCCCCGTGTTGCTGTCCCAAGGGAGGGAGACGCAGGGTCTGTGTCCCAGGGAGGGCCGCAGCCAGAGCCAGGACACCGCTGTCCATACGGGAGGTCTCGGGGCGCTCTTTGCTGCCTCCTTTGCAGCCGCCCCTTTCTGTCCGGCTGTGCGGGTGGCCCCATCGCTGCCACCGGCCCCTTCTGCCCCCGCTGGCTGCCACCTGCAAGGGCAGCGTCACGGGGTAACTCCACACCCAGCGCCAGGGTTGAGGCCGGGCCGGCGGCCGCAGGTAACACAACGTGGCCCCGCTGGCCCCACGGCACCCGGAGCCGCCGCAAAGGTCCCAGCCGCTCCCAGTGTCACATTCCCGAACGGAGCAGGGCGGCACTGAGCCCAGCCCCGGCGCAGAACGCGGGGACGGGTTAGCAGAGCCACAAAGCGCCGAGGACATGGCGGGTGCCGTGCCAGACCGACCTAAATCCCACTTCCCCGCCCTTGGGCCTGCCAACCCAAGCGGAGGTCACCGCTCCGGCAGGCGCCCTGCGCCACAGCGCCGGGGAGAGGCTGGTTACACATTACTCAAGAGCAAAACATCCCCCTTCCCGCTGCCAGGAAGGAGGGAGCGTTTCCTTGCACAAGACGTGCTCTGAGCAGCCGGCACGCCAAGGGGCAGGGCTCACGCATGAGCAAAGCCTGGGTGCGCGGCAGCGATGGTAACCCACCTCGTTACCTGTCCACGAGGCTGCGCGGAGGGACCCTGCTCTCCTCCACTGCTAACAGGAACCATCGGGGCAGTCACAGCCACAGAGAGCTTTAAAAACCACGATCTTATCACCAGGCACGAGCAGCGAGGGCAGCACAGAATCACGGAATGGTTGAGGTTGGAAGGGACCTCTAGATCATCCAGTCCAACCCCCTGGGACACCGAGAGCACAAGGCACAGGGTGGTATCCAGGTGGGTTTGAAGAYCTCCAGAGAAGGAGACTCCMCAGCCTCCCTGGGCAGCCTGTGCCAGGACTCTGTCACCCTCACAGCAAAGAAGTTCCTTCTTACACGGAGAGGGATCTTCCCGTGTTTTAATTTATACCCATTACCCCTTGTCCTATCAGGGGCCACCACTGAGGGCACGGAGGGCAGGCACCTTTCCGTGCAACTGCAGTAACTTCGATGTGAAGCGGCTCACAGGCTTTGCTCCAGGCCACTCCGATTCCCAGGGCTTGGTGTGGGCTGCTTACCTGGTCGGCAACGCTCCCAGGAGCTTCTGCCCCTCAATAAACATTTCTATCTCTGGCAGACACTGAGGGCAAGCTCTCCTGAGTCACCTCGGCTTGGCAGGAGCACGGCGAGGACAGCGTGTCCTGGAGCGCTCAGCAAAGCCGTTACCAAAAGCCCCCCCGCGCGGGCTCTGCTCCAGCCCCTTCCCAGAGCCCCAGGACGCGGCAGGAACAGGGAGCTCGTTAGGAGCATCCCAGCCACAGACCTCCCAGGAGCTGGGACACGGGACGGGACACGTGGGCCCCTGCCAGCACCTGGAAACGATGAGGTTCTGTTGCAGCAAAAGTGCGGATCTGGCTAAAATTCAGCTGTGAGTTTCACCATGAGGACTATTCATTGCAAGGAGCTCTTGTTCCCAAAATATYCATTTCTAGGTTTACGAAAACTTGGAAAGTTCAGGGAGAAATGAGTGCCTAGAAGTGGCTCCAGGGCAGCGGCCCTGGCGCCCGGGGCTCTCCGGCGCAGGGCAGATCCCGCAGGATATTCGCTGGGCGCTTCCCCCTCTGCGCGGCGCTTGCTCCACCCAGAAACCGCTCGCCGAAAGCGGCATCGCAGCCGAGAAACGAGCAAAGTTCAGCGCCGCCGGCTGAGCCTCAGCGCCGGGGCTGAACAGCTGGCTGCACCGGGGCTCCCTTCTTTTCCCCAGGAGATTCCCCTGCCGTTACCACCTCGTCCGGGCTCCTTCTGCAGTTAAGCAGCAGCCTGCGGAAGTGTGAGGCAAGGGAGCCCGTAGCCACAGAGTCCTCTAAGGCAGCTGCAAGAACCTGCCCTAAAAACTGCCTTTGGGCAGAAACCTGCCCTAAAAAGGCTCCTCCGCCTCGGGGCAGGGGTTGTTCCTCTCCAAGCTCCCTGCCCGCAGCCTGGACACCCTTCCAGGCATCCTGCTTTTCCCGGGAACACACAGCGAGGCTGCGGGCCTCGGGCAGCTCTATGGATTGCAGCAGCCCTGGGGCCTCCCGGGAGACCCTGTGCTCTCCACAGCCTGGATCTCACCATCCTCCACCTGGATCCCACCACCCTCCACCTGGATCCCACCACCCTCCACCTGGATCTCACCATCCTCTACCTGGATCCCACCACCCTCCACCTGGATCCCACCATCCTCCACCTGGATCTCACCATCCTCTACCTGGATCCCACCACCCTCCGCCTGGATCCCACCATGCTCCACCTGGATGCCGCCAGGCAGCTCTCCCGGCGCAACAGGCGCTTCCAGGGAAAAGCCACCAGCGCGGAGCATTGCCCCCCAAAAGCATGGAGCACTTCACAACACCCCTGTTGCTCCAAGGCGGTTCCTGTCATCCAGGACACCCCGACGGCCATGCAGGGGCCGGGTCCCATATCCATCCTAGCGCTTCGCTCGCCGGGGACACGGCCTCTTTCGTCACTTTCCTGCCATCGCATCTGATCCGGAGGCCTCCAGGAGCACTGGAGGCCAGGCTGGGTGCCTGGAGTTATGCCATTATTCCCGGATTCCTACTGGGGAATTCGGTGTTCCTCGAGGAGCCGCAAGCCTCCAAAGGGGGCTGGCTCATCCCCTCGGCACCACCTGTGTCCCCACCAGCTTGGGGACATCCCTCCTTCAAGATCCTGCTTTTACAGCCCCTCCATCCCTGTGCACAACAGGGAGCCGAGAGGGGGGACAACACCGCTTCCCACCAGCCTCCAATCCGCCCTCCCAGCCTCGGGCCTCCCCGAGCCTCCCTTCCCAGAGGGACCTCAGGAAAACAGCTCCCTCCCGGGGGAAAAAACACCCACAAACCCCAAACAACCCCCGAAAAGCGCCAAGGTGCGTGCCCCGCCACTCGCCTCATGTTCTTCACGGAGCGGCCGCCGTTGACGAGGACGCAGACGGGCGCCGCGAGCGCGGAGCCCACGACGCAGAGCACCGAGTAGAGGCCGATGCGCAGGGCGAAGTTGGCGGCGGCGCTGAGCTCCATGAGGACGCGCAGGCCCAGCAGCAGCGCGGCGCCCCAYGCCAGCAGCCAGCCCAGCTCCATGGCGCCCCGCGGGCCCTCACGGCGACGGCGACGGAGCGGCCGCCGCCGGGAGCCCGAGCGGCCGCCGCTGCTCCCGCCTCATGTGGGCGGCGCGGCCTCCTCCCCTCCCCGCCGCCGCCGCCTCCTGCTCCTCCTGCCGCRCGCGGAAGCGGCCGCCGGCCCCGCATGGCGGCGTGGGGGGAGCCCCGCGTGGCCTGGAGGCCTCTGGGGTCTCCATAGGGTGACAGGAGGAGGAGCTGTGGGGTCCTGTCATGGCTTAATGTGGGGGGGTTGGTGTCCTCCCCCATGGCATGACGAGGAAGGCTCCATGTGCCCCCCCCATGGCATAATGAGGAAGGCCCCAGGTGCCCCCATGGCATGGTGAGGAAGGTTTGGTGTCCCCCCATGGCATGGTGAGGAGGGTTTGGTGTCCCCCCCACCATG